GGTGTAGACTACCTGGTTGGGGACCGCGAGATGATAGCAACCGATGGTTAGAGACCCTGAATGACTTGGCTCAAAATCGTTTGCAATGGCGCAAGTGCATCCACTCTTTGTGTTCTCTTAAATTCTTATCTTCTGAATTCTTCATGTCCCTTTCTCTTTTCTCTTTCCAAATTTATTTCATCGGATTATACTCCTTGAATAACATCTTCAAACCCTAATGTTTCCGATTACTGCTGATACTCTTACTACTTCTACCACTACAAAATTTGAATCGACCACTGCATCTCTGTGCTAATGTGGTGTGGCAACTCGAACTGATGTACGTACGTACGAAGTTCTACGTTGTTACTGACTGACTGATAAATAATCCAAGTATATGTATGGTATTTAACTATTATGTATACACACCTACTAAGTAATCATTTTAAGTAATAAATACTGTCACATTGACTAGATCTATTTTTTTCCTTCCTTTGTTTACTCTGTTTACTTAAAAAATAAATCGTTTTATAATTCTCCATTTTTTGAAAGCATATTTTTTTATGGAAAGTGATTTTTTTTGTTTTGTAGCGTGTATTTACTTCTGTATTTAAACACATAAATATTGATACAAAGAGGCACTAAATATATGTGCGCCACATTTCGCCATTTGATTCGTGTGAGGGCTGAAATACTGTCCGAGAGTCCAAACCGAAGCAGGTGGTTTTTTAGAAGGCCATTCCTCAAGTCTTTAACATAGAAGTCTAGTAGCGTTAGGAGATACAGTCTCATGGTAGTTGGTGTCCAACAATAGCTTCATACGCCTTTTGTTTTTCAGGATTGTGGAGCCCATGTGCACGATTGGTTTGGAATCAAGGTTTTCTCACTCCACTTGATGGATCCTTCTTGTCCGCCAACCTGATTAAGCAATTTTGTAATAGCACTCCTTCCGCGAGAAATCACTAAGTGGTTATTCCTTGACACTGGCCGTGTGAGAGCATTTCGAGAGGGAGAGGTAACTCTTTCCACCTTCAACTGTACTACGGCATTTGAAGGCGTATGTATGTGTGAATATTTATAGGTAGTGTGTGCGTTGTGTTAATGGTTGAACCCCTTATTGTATTTCGAATTCAGATTCAACACTGTCATTTTTTATTACAGAGTCAGTTGAGTAGTAATTACGTTACAATGATGGTTCTGTTATGGATTCAGTCATGGTGTAACTGTGTCGAAACTTGCTCTAAGGGATACTTCTATTCATAAAATTGTAATTTTTAAATTTTGATCAAAGTTTGCAATGTCACTTGATAATTAAGTCATCAATCTACCTTTACATTACTGAAGACTGCAAAAATCATGTTAATTATAACTCATTTGTCAAGTATAGGTTTACACATCGTAACGAAAGAGACACATTGTGTCATTAAAGAAGAATGATTTCATCTACTTAAGCTGTTAATTTTATCTGTTAAAATAGTATTCTGTAATTAGATAGAAAGGTACTACTAATTAATTTTTAAAAAAATCTTGAAGTGGTATGTTGTCTAGACTCGAAAATCATAAATTGAACGGAAGTTACATAACAATCAGAGAATGTGGTATAATGGAAATAATTGTCCACTCGATATCTATTCATGACAAAATAATTAACATTTATAATAATTGGAAAGGAGTAGAAATAATAGAAATAAAAACGATATATTATGGAAGATAGAAAGTGAGGTTAAGACCGTGGAAGAATAAAGGACTGAACATACTGTTTTTGTATACAAAGGTTAGGTTTAAACTGGTACACAGCAATAGCGTCTGTTGTACATAAATTTTTCCATTTGTATATTCCTATTGAACTTTTCTGATTGTATGTATAATTTTGAAGGAGGCTTCTGATGAAGCAGAGTGGCCGGAATTGACTAGATACTGCAAAATTGAGATTCTGATTGACTTCTAACAATCATTTGAAGAGCTAGACAGGGTAATGTTCGAGGATTTGCCTAAAAAAAGGAATCACTTTATACGGCTAATATAACATGCAAGTAAAATGATAGGTGCACATTGATTAGGTCCAAAGTGTGGTAGCTTATCCTTCACACAACTTCAAATTATAGGCCGACTTGAAAAAAACAATACAAAGTTCAGCCGAATAGAACGTTTTCCTCAGAGATCTCGAAAGTCTGCTTTTCAGAATTTCTGCTGCAATATCTCCTTTTAATTGAATGTTTATAGAGTCTTCTTTGTTGTGGACATTCTTTCACGTTGTTGTTTCTAGCTTGAGATTTTTCTTAATAAATCTAAATAGAATAACCATTATTAATCAGTATCTAACGTAGTTTATCAAGTTCATTATCGATTTTATCCTAAATACAAATATGTCTAACTCTTAAACAAATAGAATAGATCCTGTTTCTCTTTTGCTGATGATTCACTTCGTTATTTCAAGTATCTCTCATTATAAAACTTGAATTATTACTGATTTTTTGTTTCTTGATTAATATATTTCGTTAAAAACATAACTATCACTATCACCCCCCCTTCACTTCTGTTTTTTCTGTAGTTCATTGGGTTAGTTCACTAAATGCTAACCAATCTATTCAATTCTTTGTTATTTATTTCATTCAATGATATAGAGGAGAAATACACAAAAGACTATTATGTTGTAAGCAAAAAAAAAAAAACATATATCCATTTGAATACAAGAGTATAAAGATGTCATAAGTTCAATTAAGAATTTGTATTGTCTACAATTAATCCCTTTGATAAACTTCGATATAGGTAATAAGAAGACGAACAATACATTGAGAACAATTTGATCATACATGTACTTATTAAGTATATTTATATCTAAAGAAATAAAAGGTTAATTAGACTAGAAATATTAAGGTAAGAGGGAGATAAAGATAATAAAGAAAATCATATGTAAACAATTTGATCCTTTATCATTCTAGATAATAAGTTAATATTACCAAGGTTGGTTTAAGGTGAGAATAAACCACAAAAAGGGATTTGAATTTTCATATGACTAAAGCGCATCAATAAACCTTAGTATAGATTAACTTATTATCCAGAGTGATGAAGCTTTAAGTCCTTGTCTTTTCTTACCCACTATTTCTAATCTAGTTGACCTTTTATTATTATATATGAATGTTCTTCATAAATGATATGTGTGATCAGATTGTTCTCAATGGATTGCGCTAATATATCACAGTTCTGATCATCTTCATCTTATTCATACTATTGAAATAATAATAATTAATTTCAATCGAATATTCCATTATTATTATTATTATTATTATTATTATTATTATTATTATTATTATTAACAATGAATTGTATGAAATCTTTGTCAGAATGAGTTTTGTGGAGGTTTTAGTAAATTTCACAGGTTGAAATCATGAGTCAGTTGAAGCTAGACCACCATTGAAAACCTGGAAGCACTGGACGGCCGTTTCGTCCTGGTGTGGGACTCCTCAGCAATGCGCATCCACGAACTCACACCCTGCGGGATTCGAACCCAGGACCTACTAGCTTCGCGCACGAGCACTTAACCATTAGACCACTGAGTCGGTATCCAACGGTGTTAATGTCTAACTTTAACGAATCCACAAAGTTGAGCCACCGAACACCAATGTCTTCAGTGAGCTGATATCTCACAACAGACCTGGTTGAACTCCACTGCTGAGGAGTCCCATACTAGGACGAAACGGCCGTCCAGTGCTTCCAGGTTTTCAATAGTGGTCTAGCTTCAACTGACTTATGATTTCAACCTGTGAAATCTTTGTGTTAACTCTTTGATTAATCATAGAAATATAATATGTAAATATAAATATTGAATAAATGAACTTTCGTAAATTTGTTACTCCCCCCCCCGCCGCCGTAAAGGAGCATAGGTTGCCCACAAGAATTCTCCATTGAATTCTGTCTTGGAAAATCTTTTCCAATTGCTATGATGTCATAATTTAATTATCAAAGTAATTACTTTATCTAACTTATTTCGACTAGATAGTATTAAACAGTACTGTTATAATTAGTTTTCTACACTGACAAAAAGAAATTAACATCGTATATATAAAAACAAATTCGACTTGAAATGAAAGTATACTTTATTGACGATCTTCAGCGCGACTGCTAAAAGAACTTTGATGAAATTAAAGCTAATTTTTTCTGCCGAATTAGATGTAAAAGAAAAATTTCTATTACGAAAATCCAAAAAAACAACCAAGTAGGATTCAGAGTTCGAGATGAAAATAACAGGATGCCTTGTAGTCATTTGCTGATAAATAGGCCTCCAAATGCTGTGGTACAGCCGAGAGTGAGAAGAGTCAGTTCTCCCTCTCCAAATGCTCTCAAATGGCCACGAGTATATAGCTTCTGCCAGGAAAAGTCTTATTCACTGCCTTTTCGTGGCGAGGGTGTTGTTTACGAAATTGAGAGGACGAAAAGCGAATATCCGACGCTTTAACCGGGCTAGTGGACACGGAGATTGCACCTAGGGGAGTTGGAAAACCCTGATTCCAAACCAATGGTGTACATGGGCTCCACGATTCTGATGGAAGAAATTGCGTATGAACCAATCGTTTGTCACAGGCTACCATGCGACTGCATCTCCTGACGTTGCTCCACTGCCTTATGGATCAGACCTTTAGGTCGAAGGCTCGGGGTGTGGTCCCCTAAGGAAACCACCTGTTTCGGTTTTGGTACCCGGGAAGTATCACAGCCCTCACACATATCGAATGAGATTTGTGTGGCGCATATGTATTTGGTGCCTCCTTGTACCAATATGTATGTGTTAAAATAAATAAATAAATACTAGCTCTCAGACCATTATACAACTATAACAGAGCCGTACGCCTCAGATTTGTGTATCTTAGCACTAAAAAAACCCATGTAATTTAGAAATGCTTTTAAAAAAAGAAGAATAACAGAAAATTTGTACAAGTTTCATTCACTGTTGCCGCTATTTCTAGTTTGTTTGGTTTATAATGGACCTAATTTGATATCTCCTTTTTTGTTTTACTTCATACAAGTTGGCTGAAACATGTCAAGTTGGTTTAAATCGAATTGAATGGATTAAAAACAAAAAAACAATTCAACATAAAGATTCTCAAATATCATGTGATTTAGCTGCAAAATTGTTTCCAAATACAATTGATCCAGCGCATAGTTTTACCGGTGATCAACAATATACTGATGAACAATTACATGATTTATTAATGGATCCTAATCAAAATTTATTTACACGTTATCGTGCAATGTTTACTTTACGTGATCGTGTCTTACAAGCAGTTATTGATAAAACATCACCAGAAAAGCCAGCTAATTTATTAGCTGAAGGATTAACAGCTCCAAATAGTGCATTACTTAGACATGAAGTTGCTTTTGTCTTAGGACAATTAACAGTAGCTAGTACTGTTCCACAATTATCTACATGTGTTCGTCAAACAAATGAACATCCAATGGTTAGACATGAAGCTGCTGAAGCACTTGGTTCTATTCTGGGTGAATTAGAAGGAAAATATTTAACAAAAAATGCGAAAGGTTCCGTACCGAAAGAATTTGAACATCAAGCACGTGAAGTACTAGAAGAATTTATAAAAGATAAAGAGCCAGTGGTTCGTGAAAGTTGTATACTGGCTTTAGATATTGCAAATTATATTGCATCACCGGAACAATTTCAATATGCTTCTGTATCACAAAGTTAACTAACCACTAATAGCTATTGGTACATTTCATGGATACATTGGTACATTATATTGCCTTTTTCTGTGGACAAATTCTACAATGTTTTTTGTGTTATTGTTTATTGTTGCTATGATTTCAAGGTTAATTCCTACTTGTCATCGTATTTTATACTCAGGGATTATTGTTTATTAATTTTCATGTTAAGTCTACATTTTGGTAAACTCTGTTCTTAGTTAATAAATAAATACATCGTACAAATGACACTTTTTTCTCTCAGTTGTGACTATTCGAAGTACCGCCATATGGCCATGTGTACATAGCCACCGCCAGAGAGATCCCGCTCACTGTCTTTTTTTGTATCAGTGGTGTTGTTTACGGAAAGTAGAGGACGAAAAGGAATTGTCCGGCGCTTTAATCAGGTTGGTGGATAGGAAGGTTCCGGCTAGGAGAGTTGGAAAACCCTTATCCCAAACTATTGGTGCACATTGACCCCAGGATACTAAAGAAACAAATGGCGTATGGACCTATTGTTGGTCACCGGCTACCGTGGGACTGCATCTCCTGATGTTGCTCCGCTGCCTTGTGGATCAGACCTTTATGTCGAAGGCTCCGGCTATGGCCCTTTAAGAAAGCCATCTGCTTCGGCAGTATCCCAGCCCTCATATAAATCGAATGATTTGTGGGGCGCATATCTGTTTGGTGCCTCCTTGTATCAATGTTTATATGTTTAAATAAATAAATAGAATAACAATAGATTTAGTGATTATATTAAGATCAATAAAATGTTTTTGCTATAAAAGGTAAAGGTCATGGAGGTATAAAAAATAAACAAGGTGATATGATGAGCATTTACGAATAAAATAATGAGGATATAAGACATAAGTAAAGGGGAATGCAGTAATAATAATAATAATAGGATAACCAAAATAATCAAGGCCATGGTAACGATAAGACGTACTTATTTTGTACGCGTAGTTCTGGTTTGAGCTCCTGGATTGTAAGAGCTTCGGCTATTTTTAAGAGTTGGATACGAAGAAATCTAGGTAGATTTGAACGAATCATATAAACAGCCTTAAAATCAGATTGTGGATCTGTAGAATGGTTACAGTCGATTAGGTTTTCAAGTATAGAACTCCTAACTGCTTCCCTTCACCTTTATAGAACCAAGCTGGGATATGTTCCCGTATCCGAGTTGAAAGCGAGCGCTGGCTACGGCCAATGAACCTTACTCCACAAGAGCAGGTGAACTGGTAGATGCACATAGAGGCGACCAGACATCTTACATCTCCCCATAGTTCTCCTTCGCCTACTGTAATGGTTTATAAAAAGCCGAGTTAACACGTCAAGCACTAGTAAGTAGTTCTTGTATGATCTGCCAGAAGCAATCGTCCCTTGGAAGTTGTGGTCGTACTCCAAAGTTATCAGGATCATCCTTAACCTAGTTTCTTTTATATGCATCTCGAAAAGCAGAAAGTGACAAACAGCTTCCTACTTCTTGGAGCACCCGGGAATACTTAGCTTGTTGAGGGACAATATCATTATTATGGTTATATATATATAATGTTCAACGTTATAATTTGAGCCATTATCTGAAGTTCGTTGCGTTGTGTTACGTTTTTTAGAATGATATCTAAATTCTGAATTTACATTCATCTTTTCAAACGACCTAATTTTATTATAGATGAGTTTGAGCTGACACAATCTCTAGTATTCTGAACTGTGATATGGAAAAATCTTTCACCTTTTATATGTAAAGCAACGCATTACGATTGATTAATATACCTGCAGCCAAATGGAACTTGAATTGTAACTGGTGGGAATAAACACTTTGGTTGTAAGAAGGGTGATCTGGATCGAGAATGTTGCACACAAGAGTCTTAACGATTCATAATAATTGGTTTCATTATTTCGCTCTCCAGTCTGATCCTATGGAATTAAGAAATCGTATAGTTCATATCAATATCACAAACGCGTCCATTATTACTCTATTTCCATATTTCTCTGTTAATCCCATGTATAATAACCAGCTTGAGTAACTGAGTTGTAACGCCGCTAGCTGACACTAGTTGATCGAGATTTGCATCTCATGAGGAGCATTATTTTCTTCACGATTGTAGATGGACCCTTCTAATGAGTCTCAAACTAGGTTGAGCAGGGTTTCCTGTCGATTTTTTCGAAACACCCTAGCACACGCAGTAACCTCCAATCTGTATTCCAACCACGCTTCACTTTAAAACTAATGTTTTCTTTAGTAATATAGTGAACCAAGCATTCAAGTAGGGAAGTTAGTACAAAATGTCTTCGTAAAATATGAGAACCATACATTAGATCATTTCTACATCTTCGCCCCGTTGTCTTTAACAAACTTCATCGTTCCTTCATTCCTATTGTTATTACAATTACTCTCTGTTTACATTTCTGTTCTCTTCAGTTCGATCTTCCCAATTTTTTGCTCCCAAGCATTCTACTTCTGGTTTGTGTCACATACTACTTATGTCTATCGACATAAGCATCATAAACCACTACAACAAAATAATGATAGTCATCTATATATGTAATATTAACAATGTGAGGGATTGATTAATTTACATTCGACTCGGTCTATGTGTAACTAAAAATTTATTAAAATATAACTGATAACACAAAATAATATGTATGTTTAATTCATGGAGGTTTAGGTGTTCGTCTTTCAAGATCTAGTTTCTAGGCTCGAACTCCGGTTCATCTAATTGGGTTTCAACAATGAAGTAGTATCATCATCTGTCACACTGAGTGTGACTCATAAGCAAGTATCTAGTGAATGAGTTTCTAAAAAGAAATATTTCACTGCTCTATGAGGATGATCTGAATTAAATCGATTTCTTTGTTTTTTATTTATGTGACAAATTGTTAAACTCTATCTATTGAATTCTTCAAAACTATCACTCTTGTTGATTAATTATATGCTAGCCTGTGAATTTATAGAATATACTAATTTCCATACAAATATTCTGCATGTTTTTTTCCAAGTAAGCAGCCATGAAATGTTAGCTTGTTGTTAATAGATTATATCTCGTTGGTAAACTTGATACTATCCGAAATACTGGTGAAAAGTTCAAGAAGTTCATCTTGTTTACCTCTACATATAGTTGACAGATTTTAAGTGGAAGATTACATCTTGAAATTAAGCTTGTTTCTAATAAATTCTGTTATAACTTGACTGCAGATTAGACAGCAGCGAATTGTCGATCGGACCACGTAAGAACGACCTAGAATCCTGGTTGGCCCTGCTTCCCTGTCTAGCCCAGCTAGTTGAGTCCAGAACGCAAGTCTCAGCCTCTGAGATATGAATCATTATATTTCAAACATACTGAGTTTATATACCAAACAAACCGACCACAACGTACCAATAAAATATGAAACAACATTTGTACAAGAATTAGCCAGATGTGGGTGTGAATGAGGGAGGTAGCAATTAACAGACAGGATATAATTCAAGAATGGTAAATCGTATAATAGTACTTCATAGGTCAACATAAAGCTCATAATAAGAGGGGCATGACTTTGAACAGTTTAGTTGCATAACAATTGTATGATAAAAATATACGTATGGTATTGGTCCATAAATGGATCCCAAAAGTTACCATTCATTATTCTTATCGGGATACAACAAATTCCCAATACTTGATAAGGTTAAAGATCCCATATTTATATCTGTCAAGATTATCTCGAAATTTGAGTAAAGTGAATTGTAAACATAATTGTAATATTTTAATAATATGAAAGAGATCTGATGAGCAAACAGCTTTAACTCATTATTACATTCTTGACACTTATACATAATCGGTGATTTAGTAAATAAAGTGAAACTATGCATTAATTTATCTTTTCCCATATGGATAAGGGTAATGATGTCTATCAATTCACTTGAACTATCGATTCCAGATTTTACATATTCATAAATGTTGAACCACTCACCGTTCATTGGGTTAGGTATTCTTCCTGCTTCAGTTCACATAGATTTTTCTTCGTCTCTTATTACTCACCTACATTATTGAATATCTAAAATATACCTTCCTCAAATACTTTTGTGTTCGACGTTTTATATCTATGTCGTTATTATCGGGATTCGTCGACGGAATGTATATAAAGTAAAGGGAACTTATGTTTCAATTTTATTGTTATACCGGAATCAAACAATAGGCACTAAATAGGGTTAAGGGTCTTGATCAGGTATTTTGCAAGATTATACAATATTGTATATATTCAATCAACCTTCAGTCTTAAAAACACATTTGTCTTGTGGAATTTTTGTAGCCCATCAATAGTCTACATAAAGTGGAACTTTTGGGACTGTAGTATTTTATCCTTCAGTTTGTTCACGTTAATTCGACATTTAGATTCTATGATATTTTCAGAGTCCATTATGTAAATATTCCTTATTTAATAATTGAATTCATGAGTCAATTGAAGCTAGACCATCAGGGAAAATCTGGAATCACTGGACGGCCTTTTCATCTTATTATGGGACTCCTCAGCAATGTGCATCCACGATCGCGCCTCGTGAGATTCGAACCAAGGACCTATCAGTCTCGCGCGTGAGAGCTATTGTATATAAACCCAGTATGTCTGAAATACATGATTCATATTGTAGAGGTTGAGATTGATATTCTGCACATGACAGGTAGTTGTAGACAGGAAGTAGAACTGATAAAGACTCTAGATTGAACGTATTTGTTTTATACATCGTTGATCCGGTCGATAATTCACTGTCCTTTAATTGGCGGTATCATTACGTTGTACATTGATAGGAGTAAAAACCCATAAATTATAACACTAACGGAAGATAGGGAATGAATTAAATTGTGTCTTTTAACCATGTTTTCTCAATATATTTAAGCATCATAAAGACTAACCAAATTTTTCTTTTTGTGTTTATTAATTGCTATTAATTGTTGTAGTAACCGTTTGTTTTTCATTATTGAAAAAAGATAATGGACATATTGTTACCATGATGGAAATCAATCATAATAAAAAGAAG